ATATGAAATGATGAGAGTAATTATTACTGATGGAGGATCTCATTTTAAGAATAAGAGAATCGAAAAATTGAATAAGAAATATGATATTATGTATAGATTCTGTACTGCTTATCATCCTCAGACTAGCGATCTAGCAAATATATCAAATCGTGAAATTAAACGAATTTTAGAAAAAACTGTAAATCCCTATAAATTGGATTGGTCTACTAGATAAGATACTGCATTATGGGCATACAAAACTGCTTATAAGACTCCTATAGGAATGTCCCCCATATAGACTTATTTTTGGAAAAACATGCCACTTACCAGTAGAATTGGAGCATAAAACATTTTGGACTATTAAGGAATTTAATTTTAGTCTAAAAGATATTGGTGAGAAAAGATTATTACAATTCACTTTGTTATTGGGAAAAATTACAAAAAGGAATTTTGATAGCCCTTTACCTCATAATATTTGTGAGATTTATTTTTTCATATTTTTTATAAGCATCTTTCCTTCAATATATGGAGATATATCACTTTCACAAGTTTGGTATGGCTTTGGTTACATTATTGCTTCTTTTGGAATTGTTTTTTTTTTCTTTTATTGTGCTTACTTCTTGTATTGTTGAATGGTATAACATAAGCTATCAAGATTTTATGAGTTAGTTATGGGTTCAATAGCTTCACTATCATGGACTACTCTTTTATTTATGTTGGTGGAGTTTAGGTAGTGCTAGGTAGGTTATTTTACTTTTTACATATTTTCTAATCATCTACATTGTTATATCCTATTAATTTTGATATGTTGTGGTTGTTGTTTTGCTTTGTGTTATCCATATGTAAATTTGGATGAGTTTTTTCACTACAGAACCCTTCTCTAGCAAAACATGCCCCTCACTTTTGCTGCATTTAATCTTTTTAAAATGCTTTGAAGGGCATACTTTAACAAATGCTACAATTAACTAAGTTGGGCTACTGCTCATACACTCTATTTTTTTTATGAAAGTTGAAAGCCCTACATATTGGTTCAAACAAACTGTATGTTGAATCCAGATTTCTCATAGAGACGCTCAATGATCGAAAGGGCATGAACCTTAAGGGAGAAGTAGAGAGAAATAGCAAGGGATAAAAAAATAAAAGAACATACATAGACTTGCTCTTTAGGAGCGAACTGGGATATTCTTAGGCTCTATGACCTATTTTATATATTATAATTAGGGGGTCATGAGAGAAAAGGGGAGAGAAAGCTCCTTACATAGTATGCATCTAGAGAGAACAGCTAAAAAACCCATAATGGAGGCTACGGGCCCCATATTTATAGGAGATGGAAAAGAAAATATGAAAAATTACATGTCTATCCTTGCTTTATTAGAGGCATTACAAGACATAATTGTATTTTATCTTGTCATTTTACATGTTTGTCCTCTCCAGCCTATCATTTTGCATATTAGTCTATGATAAAACTTCTTTTTATGAAAATTTATTTCATACAAATACCGTATGCAGAAATACATGTGATGTCCGATCCACACTGTCGATTAACACAAAAATGTATTTCGGTGGGCCCCATTTTTAACTTTTTTATTTTTTATTTTTTAAAAAATTTTGATCGACTGTGGAGATCAGTGATCGATGGTACAGATTGGACATCGCATGCATCCGTATGAAATAATTTTTCATTTTTATTTTCTCTTATCACAAAAGTGGCTATGAAAAATGGCGAAAAGAAAAAAAAAATGGAAAATGCTACATTATTATTACCAAATAGTCCAATGAACCAAGCCATGAAAAGCAACAAGATTTTAATTCTTGCCCACACAACAAATTTTTCGCCTAAAAAAAAGGTTGTTGCTGCGTTGAGATTTAAAATTAACACGAATATAAAAATACTTTTTAATTGTCTAAAATATTTCTAATCCTTGACGTACGCAATTATTTCTTAAAATAACGTGAAACTCTCAGTGTGAACAATCTTACATTGTTTTAAAAAGAAATTGTTAGTGTTACGTTGTGGGACTTAATCCAGGCATTCATAATGCTAATTTTAAAATGCACCCGTTCGATTACAAATATTAATAAAAAAACCGAACTTCACAATTCCAACCAAATATAAATAGTGAGCCAAGAACACCATCACCCTCATCAAAAAAATATGAAAAATTGACTTCTTCTGATTTTCTTCTTCTTCTTCCTCTCAATTGAAGTGCATACCTCCATTAATGGATACCTTTTTCATCAGCCATGGATCACCGAGACTTCTGATCACTGATAGGCCAGCGAGGCGCTTCCTAGAATCATGGAAGTCAAATAATTTAGATGTGACGCCTAAGGCTATTTTGGTAATATCCGCCCACTGGGAGACTACTGAGCCAACCGTGAACGTCATTAATGGCGTTAATGACACCATACATGACTTCTACAACTTCCCAAAACATTTTTATGAGGTTGCTCTTCTTTGATAAATTCTTTTATTTCTTCGTATTAGTAATTTGTTAAAGAAGATTTGAGCATGTATTTAACCTGTCTTCGAATGGCATCAAAAGTAACAACAAAGCTAACATTAGAATTTGCATCAGGATTGCACAGGGAAACGGGAATGAGTATCAAAATTTACACATGATTTGAGACTCAAATCTCCCTAAAGCTTCCATAATTTATCTAATTTGCATCAAAACTGTATGAAGAAAACAGCAGGAGCTAATAATGGTCATGTATGATTGATCTGCAGCTCAAGTATCCTGTACCTGGGGCACCAGAACTAGCCCTGAGGGTGAAAGAATTGCTCCGAGATGCCGGCTTTAACAGTGTGGAGGAAGACAGAGCTCGTGGGCTCGACCATGGGGCCTGGGTCCCATTGATGCTCATGTACCCGGAAGCTAACATACCAGTATGCCAGCTTTCAGTTCAGTCTCACAAGGATGGAACATACCACTATAACATTGGTAAGGCATTGGCTCCACTCAGGGATGAAGGTATTCTCATTTTTGGATCAGGGAGTGCAACGCATAATCTAAAGTTGCTTGACCGGGATGATGTGGAAACACCCAATTGGGCTGTGGACTTTGATAATTGGCTCAAAGAGTCTCTCCTCAATGGAAGGTATACACATCTTTCTATCTTCATCAATTATTTTATCAGCTTCTTTGACATAAAAGGCTTTGTTTGGATTGAAGGAAAGGAAAGAAAATGGAATCTCAACAACAGAAAATCAGAATCAAATCAAAAGATCAAATGACTAGCCCAATTCTATTTGATTTCAGTGCCGTTTTTATTTTAGTGCTCCATAGACCAATTGGCTTAGTTTGGTTTAGATTTGGAGTTATAGAAAATGAATAAACTCGGTCTGAACTGAACTATGTTTTCAGATGATGCATCTGAAATATTCTTATATTAAAAAAAAAAAAGAACTGATCTTAAGTTTTTAAACTATAAAAGATATTTTGCTTTTAGTGCAGATTAAATTAAAACTAATTAATCCTGAGCAGACCAAAGATTCAGATCAGGCAGGCTTTGTTTGGATTGCTTTTTTAACTTTTTTGTGGTAAGAAAAAATGCCAATGAAAATAATATACATTTGAATGATAGCATTTTCATAACTTTCCAAAGTTTTTCCTTAAAAAACTAATTCCAATAAAGCAGAATTAAAACAATAGTTGCAAAAAAGCAGTTCTTAAAAGAAAAAACAGAAAAATGTAAGCAGCCCAAGTAAACCCGAAACTAAATTGAATCCATATAAATTGCATTCCGCTAAAAACAAACTCTAGACCTAAATTCAAATCAAAACTAAATCAAATGATTATGTTTTGTTCAATGCCACATTTGGCTATTTTGGTTTTAAACTCCAACTTTGGTGGTCAGTTCACTTTAGTTTAGTTCCATGTCCCGTTCAATTTGACACCATTTCTATCACAATCATGTGTCGGATATTATTAGACCTGTTATGATTGTTTTGCCTCATATTATTAGCCATTTCTATTGCTTTGGGTTTGTTTATATTTGGGAACAATATTGATCAATAAAAAATGATATAGAGAAAAAATTGACTGAAGGAGAACGGTGCCAGGTGCTCAGTCTAACAATTCTCCATCTTGCAAAGTATAACAAGTCATGTTACGCTTGTCTCATAATAATGTTTTGCATGAACTAGGACAACATCAGAATAACATATTAAAGCTATTAAAAGAAGGAAGCCATGACCAAAGCTCAAGTTTTCTTGCCCAAATATCTATATGACAACTTGATGGCCTCTCATTCTACAGGACCAACTTGTCAGCTATTGTCCTAACATTACAGTGTTAATGCACATAAGACTGTTAATTTATCCCAAAATGAATAGCTTCATCACTACTATATGAGGCCAATTTCGATCTTCCTGTAGTTGATACTGCATAATAAGTGATAGCAGAGCTGTTGTTTTAACTAGGTAAGAGTGGCTCAATTAGTGTGGGGCCTCCATTAGTGTTGACACTTGACACATTTCCCTATTATTAAGATTCGACACTGAAATCCTATGAAACGTCCATGCACCACGATGTGTGTTGACGGTGTAAAACCTCACGAGTGTGTTTATCTTGCATTGGATAAGTAAATGACGTCGGTTTTTTTAGCCCTTCTTTTTTTTTTTTACTTTTTTTTAACAATCAAACGAAAAGCGTGATATAATAAATACCTTGGTAATGAGTATTTCTTATGCAGGCATGAAGACGTGAAGAACTATGAAGTGAAGGCTCCCAATGCTAAAGCTGCACATCCAGAACCTGAACACTTCTATCCCGTGCATGTTGCTCTCGGTGCTGCTGGTGAGAAGGCAAAAGCAGTGCAGATTCATCAAAGCTGGGGGGCTTCTTCACTCTCTTACTCCTCCTACAGGTTCATGGCGCAATAGTTCACGCACCATGATTTGTGAATTGAAGACATAACATGGGAGTGGCATCTAATTTCTGTAGCTTGGTTTCGTTTGAAATGTTCTCTTTTTTCTTTCTGTTGTTGATGAATGAAATTGAAAATGTGGCTTCCTTATTAAAGTGTGTCTTTCTTGAATGTCCGTCGCTCGCTCTTAGTTTCTAATTAGCACTTGGAAACAATTATATTAATGTTGTTGCTCCACTCTTAGGTATCATTTGGCTTAAATTTTTGTCAACATTATAGTCATATAAGCTCTTAAATAATAAACAGATGCTATTTCAGCAAAAAATTGGACAACATTTGTTAAGTAGTAGCTGAACAAACAACAACAACAACAACAACAAAACCTTTATCCCACTAAGTGGGGTTGGCTACATGAATCCTTTTTCTCCATTGCGTCCTATTCCTATCATTGCGTCCTATTTAGTGTCATATTTTCATTTAATTCAAATAAATTAAGATCATTTTTTATACAATATGCCCCAGCCATCCTAGGTGGACATCTGCCTTTCTTAACATAAGTCGAATCTAAAACATCTACTCTTCTAATCGGATCATAAGATGATCGCCATTTAATGTGACCAAACCATTATAGACGACTCTCTCTAATTTTTTCTATCACTGGAGCTATACCAACCCTATCACGAATATATTCATTTCACATTTTGTCTCTAAATGTAAAGTGACTCATCTACCTAATCATTCTCATCTCGGTGTTGACCTCACTTTTGTTTGAGGTTTAGTTTTTCCTCTTTAGTTGCCTAAGGTCTGGCCATAGGACTTTCCTATTGACTATTCTTAGAAAACTAGACAAGGAACCCTCACCATTAGAAATTCTACTCTCTTCTCTACTCAATTTGAAGTTCCACATATTGATCCTAACCTCTAGCACTTAGTAGGTGAGGTCATTATGGGGGAACCCCAAGATGAGTCACCCTTAGGACTGTTGGACCTTACGGTTGACCCTGAGTGTTGGTCTAGGGCTTAAGGTACATACTTGCACTCACAATCACTCACAATCCTAAACTTAAACTTCTGGGCTTTGGTCCCTTGATACTTTTGGGAGACTCATGTAGGTGGTCCCCTAAACCCACTAGCCCTAGACTAGGGTTTAGCTAAGACCAGTGCATAGAAGACCCAAAATGGGGTTTCCATTGGGCCATGGCTTATTGATGGTGGTTGGCACCCCAATTCTACCAAAAATATTCAACTTAGTATGTTGCCTCTAAACTCCCCCAAATTACCCAAATACTCTTGGGACCCTAAATTTGGCCAAAATTCTCAAATTTACCCAAAATACCCAAGTTGGTTAAAAAATTATTTCAAACACCTTGAACACACCCAAACTGCCCAAAATCACCAAAATTTGTCAAATTACCAAAATACACCTCCTTAGCCCAAAATTCCAAAAATTCTTAAAAATCCCAAAAATTCTTAAAACCTCCCAAAAATTTCCAATTTCATTTTTCTCAACTATCACATAACCCAATTTGGCCAATTTGACCATCTTTGATCAAAACCCCCAAATTACCTTTTAAAGGTCCATTTTTCCCCAAATCTACCTCAAATGTCTATCAAATTGGTCTCAATTTCCCACAATTTCAATTATAAACTCAAATTCACTCTTCATATGACCAATATAAACCAAATCCAAGCTCAATTGGTCCATGATTTGAACTCAATTTTGATTTAGATCAAAACCCCAATTTTAGCCCCATGACT